TTTCTCCCATTCTGTCAATTGCCTCTTTCCTTTGCTGATTGTTTCTTTTGCAGTGCAGAAGTTTCTCAGCTTGATGAAATCCCGTTTATCAATTTTGGCTTTGTTTCCCCAATGTTCTCTACTAATTTGATGGTATCAGGTCATAAATTTAGGTCTTTAATCCATTTTGTGTGGAGTTTTGTATAAAGTGTAAGGTAGGGGGTCTAGTTTCATACTTTACATAGAGATCCCATTTTCCAAGCTCCATTTGTTGAAGAGATTGTCTTTGCTGCAAGAATTCATTTTAGCTTCTTTGTCAAAAATCAGTTGGTTGTAGATGCATGGTTTGATTTGTGGCATTTCTGTTCTGTTCCATTGGTCTACATGTCTAAGAACTTATTTTTTCAAGGATTTGTTTGTGGCATTTATCAGACTCTGTTTTGAATATGTTTGGTTTTATTGCAACCGTAATTCTGAGTGTTGTTTATTGTTAATATTATCATTTATCAATATATTACACATATTTTAGATATGTAACATGTTAAAGTATTAGATGTATTGCAATAGTTTATTCATTCATTTTAATGTTTATTATTTTCTACTTAGGCTTTGTAACAGAGAGACGGGGGGTGTGGAGAGAAAGAGAGACAGAAACAGAGATCTTTCTTCTGGTCTTCTGGTTCATTCCACAAATACCTATAATGTCTGAAATAATGTTTAACATTTATGATATGGCATATTGAAACTGCTTTTTTTGCAGTGTTGTATATGTCAGCCTTTGTCTGTTTAGAGATAATCCCAAAAGCTTACTCACAGATTTATCTCTTCTTCTGGTATATCAGCATTGCAGATGTGAAGGCCATTCCTTCATCTCTTAATCTTTCTTCATCCTCTGTCTCTGAATCATCTTCAGTTGTTAAATATCATTGTAGTAATGCTCAAATACTTGGGACTATAATCTTTTATTTAAGGGAATTGGTACCGGTTTTTAATTTTTAGAGACATCAATAGTCATCTAGAAGAAAAACTCTACTTGATAAAAAGGACTTTTACATGTAATTTTAATGAAAAAATTTGTACTTTCCCTTAAATTTTGCTTTCCATGTCTGATACTAAATTTAACTCTTTTTTAATGTAGAATAATTGTACTTAAGGTTCTTTGTACTTTCCTTTTTTTTTCACATGAGTTCCCCTAAAATCAGATTTTCTCAGAAGAGTGAGGTTCAGCTTGTTGATGGAAACATTTACAGCACAGAAAAGTTGTCAAATAAAATAAACGGCACATAGACAAAGACCTAGTAAGTGAAGATTTTTTTAAAATGCCAATAAGAAAGGGTGATGTGTAAAGACTGTGAGAGCATCATATTTGCAAATATGTATATGTAAACATTTATATATAATCTGTCTATATAAATAAATATGGAGAAAAACTTTAATATGAATGTAAAAATAGAGCCTGTATAGCCACAATGCTTGGCATAAAAATTCTGTTGCTAGATCATTAAAGTACTCCCCTTGGTCTCCAAATGGGACCTAGAAAACAAATATGACAATCTGGAGTCCCTTAAAGTCTACCTATAAACATATTTTATAATAATTAGGACTAATATGTTTGGGAATTTAAACATGTATCCAATCATTTCAGTCTCCCCTCTCTGCCCCCTGTTCTGCTGGCCCTGGAATCCTCACTTTCATGGTCATTGTTTCAAATATGACAAAATAGGAGAAAGTGATATGTTTGAGTAGACCCTCAATTCCCAAGAAAGTCTAAATAGTTGCATCTTTAAGACATTTATAAACCTAGAGCATGATATAATGAAAATTTAAGACACTAGTTTATGTGCTGAATTTATACTATACACCTATTTTGTCTCACACAGTGATTTTTTAATTCAATTATTTTCAATCCTTAAACATGAAGGATTTTATCTTGGAGACTCATGATGAACTTTTATTGAAAAAGTCAGAAGCTGAGTCAAGACCAGACTCATTCAACAAGGCAGCGATCTCTTGGCACTACACATGACCTGTCATCCTTTTTCAGAGTGGGCAGACACTCTTCCATTGGGACTGGACCTCAGAAAGAGACTGAAACAAGTAAAAGAGAGAACCTTCTGTGTATTAGATGAGAAGATTTGCCATCAAGTTGTCTAACCAACACTTAATTTGGGCATGAAAAAGACAACATGCCCTCTGAGACTTTAACTTGCTTATTTAATTCATTAATAGAAGGAGGAAGCTTTTAATGGAAACATGGTTAGAAAATCAGACAAAACTTGTGCCACTAAACAAAAAATGAAACATGGAGGCTAACCAAGAATTTGCCCATGGCAAATTAAAAGCAAAGAGAAAACCATTTAAGAAATAATTAGGTATCTGAGATGTCTTCAATCAATGTCAATTTACAAATAGCATTAGGAGGAAATATATAGCAAGTGTAGTTATCCTGAGAGTTATCCTTGAATGTTGCTTCTGGTTCTGATTCCATTTTTAATTATTTGTCTTATTTGTTTGAAAGGGGTGTGTGTGTGTGTGTGTGTGTGTGTATGTGGAGAGAGAGAGAGAGAGAGAGAAAGAGAGAGAGAGAGATTGTATTTTCCAAATGTTGGCTACTCCCCAAATGGCTCCAATGACTCAGGCTGTACCAGGCTCAAATCAGGAGCCTGGAACTCTATCTGGGTCTCCCACTTGGATGGCAGGGGGCCAAGTACTTGAGCCAACACCTGTTACGTCCTAGTGTGCCCATTACAGAAATCAGAAGCCGAGCAGGGACTGGAGCTCAGGACTCAGGCATTCCAATCTGATGTGAGGGTGTCTTAAGTGATATCATAACTTGTATGCTAAATAACTGAACTAATGTTTCTAACTTTTGACCCTATTATAGAGCATTGTGATTTGTTTTGAGTCAGGAGTTAACACAGAATCTCTTCTTTCCCAGACTTGTGTAAATTGGGGAAAAGAAAGAAATGAATCATACTAGAGAAAAATAAGTAACTTCATACAGATGCCTGTGTGTGCTTTTAGGCTAAGAAACCCTTTCATCATGTGAATCTTAGAATCCAATCATAATTTTCTCATCTGTCTGATCATTCTTGAGTTCCGGATTTATGCCTGCCAGTGCTTATTTCCCTTTCAGAAGTAATGCATTTTTCATTTGCTTTGTGATGTTTGTTTTTATTCTCCTCTATTTTCTCATCCTTTTGCTCCTTGATCTTTTATATTCTTTTGTCTTTGCCTATCCATTTAAATGATTGTGTTAGGTCACCCACTGGGCAGGTACTGGGGAAAAAATATCTTGTTAGAAAAAAAATTCCTGGAGGCATTAAATTAATTAGAATCTTAAGGTCTGTTATGAGAGGAGAGAATATAATGACAGTGAAGGCACCTAGAAACATGAAGCATTGATTATTTGTTGCCTTATGCATCAGTCCAAACTTGAGAGTGCCCTCCTCCTGCCCTGCCCTCCACCCCCTACACACACACACACACACACACGAACGTGAAAAACCAAGCAGAGGAATGAAATGACCATTAGAGATCTTACAATTATTTCTTACGTTTAGACTTTTAATCTCTCTTTAAACAAAGGTTATTCTTTTAGTCCTGCTACAGAATAATGACTATAAAAGAAAACCATACATTTTATGTTCAGAGTCCTCTTTTCCTGTGAAAGTAATGCTTCCATCATTATTTTATTTCATTTTTTAAAGATGTATTTATTTATTAAATAATAAGTCAGATCAGAGGAGGAGCAGTGGGACCTGAACAGGCACCCATATGGGATGCCAGCATTGCAGGTGACAGCTTTACCCACTATGCCACAGTGTTGACCCCTCAATCATTATTTTAAATCAGCTGCAAATTGCATTTTTGTATGCGTTTTAGACTGCTTATGCACAAGTTTCCAAAAACACCCTTTGTACGTTCTGTCCTTCAGTGTGAATTATTATTGTTGCTGCTGTTTTATTAAATAAATGTGGCATATTCATGTGGCATGTGCAAATATGGATGTTCCATACTATCAAGGGTAATGATCAAATGTTTAACACCAGCGAAGTGTGGACACAGCCAATCATACTAGACATCAGCCTAAAACAGTGTAAGATCAGATGTGCCAGTGGCACTTGCACACACATCAGCCTTGTGTGACTGGAAGGAGGACAGCTACTAGAGTTAATTGTGGACCAGGACGTTTGGATTAGTAACACTTACTCGGGTACAACATCTGAATAAGGTGTTTTAAACTACAGAGACTTTCCATTCTTTACATTTGATAGCTCTTTGAACTTGTCTATTTCATGGCTTATCTGATTACCATGCGATGTACAGATGACTGTTGTTAAGTTACCCTGTTGGTGATAATAAGACTATTCTATAAGCTTGTTTATTTGTATTGTAGTTTAGCTCTATGCTACTAGGGACAGTATATCTAGTGCTTTAAGTAATTTAAAGTAACTTAGGCATTAGAAATAATTATTTGTAGGTAGTAGAGATTTTTTTCCAATTGTTTCATCTCCTTTACAAAATGAGAGTTTGTAAGAAAAGAAAGGTGCATGATTGGCTTTGCCTGTGTATTTCCTTAATTTAGTCTAGAAGGGATTTTATAAATAATTTTGAATATTGCATCTAGTGTTAGAGAGTAAGTTCTTAGTTGTAAATAACAACAGTTTTATGTATTTAGCACTTGTTAGAGTTTAGGCAATATTCCAACTGCATATAGGTCATCGCATTTACTACTAACAACAGTGTTATGAAGTAACTAATTTTATTATCCTTACAATTGAATTTGGGCACTGGTACTTTCTGTGAATATTTCTAGTATATATTATGTAGATATTAGACTATTCAAGGACAGGGACAGTATTTCTGACATTGTTCTTGCCCCCTGGAGGAGGAGAAATGGGCAAAGTAAGGGACTTGGTTCTTTACTGATTTTTTTCATTAAACTAGTACTTGTCAACATGTATTTGTGGCTTATCCATGGTGATGATGAGTTCAATTCTTTGCCTCTTGGTTTTTAGTACCAGGGCAGCCATTAAATTTCAAAGCAGAACCTGAGTCTGAAACAAGTATTTTGCTGTCGTGGACACCTCCTCGTTCAGACACCATCGCCAACTATGAACTGGTGTACAAAGATGGGGAGCAGGGAGAGGAGGTAAGACTGTATTTCTCACCTTCATAATCATTCAGTGCATTGAGATGCTACTTTGCTCTTGTGTGCTTACCCAAGTTCTTTGTCAGATATCCTATAGAGCACTTTGGTAGAAAAGATTAATTCATAAAAAGAGGAAATCGAACCAAAAAGCCAGAGTTTCTCCGAATCGGAAACCTTTGGAGGAAAACAATTATTTCTCCTACTGGAGCAGCAGAAACAGTTCTGTTTTTTAGATTGACCCCCTTCTTTCTGTTCAGATTTCTGAGCTTTATGTTTTTGAAGTGTTAGGCTGTAGAAGAACAGATACCCCGGGAGACCTCTTTTGTCACTTTTCTTCATTGATACATTTAAGTCACTGACGAAGCACATGACTAAATCAGCTTTATATGCTGATAAAGGTCCTTGGCTAGATGAGTTAGTCCAGATTGGTTTCAGAGAAAGATGCCCTGTAGCAAATGTTTATTTACATGCTAAAAATAACTTGATAGGATTGTGACTATATATATATAAGGCTGAGTATCCCAGGAAAGTAACTATAGATTCTACAAGGCATGAAAATTACTGGCAGTTGCTGACAACAGAAAGAACAATCTGTACAGTGAATAACAAGAGGCATTGTAAGGGCTTCTCATACGTTTACTCTTGTAAGAGTAATATAATTTAGCTTCTCTTTTTAATCCATTTCACATATAATAAAATGGATGCACTAAAAAGGCTAAATAATTTGCCCAAGATCTCATAGTACTTACTGGGACAGCTGTTATTGAAATGAGTTTGGCAGACTCCAGAGCCTGTGTTCCTGTTAGTTTCTACTGTCTCTTGTGTACATTTTGAATAGATTGTAGGAATTGGTATTAAGTAGCGTCAAATATTTTCAAAATGGAACCATCTAATAGTAGTGAATAGGTTTCCTTTATTATTGTGATATCCAATAAAGAATATTAGAACAAGAGACTATTTGAAAATTCTATCCACAGAAGTCATTTTATCAAACATTTTGGCATTCTTTATCTAAAAACAATCTTTACAATGCACAGCAGTCCTTAAGTTCTAGTAAGGTATATCTTTTCTGAAAAGTCCCACATTAAATGAACAACTATCAATTAACTTATGTTACATTGTTCTGCATGCTCTAAAAATTGATATGTTCTTTCTTATAAACTATTGTTTTATAACATCTGTTTAAATTGAGCAGAATCATTGAAGATCAAGTTTAAATGGAATGTTTTTAGATTTAGATAAAAAAAACCAATGTATATTTAGCACTTAGAAACTACGTGATTGAAAAGCAGCTGTGGCTTAATAGTTTTCATGCTACGGCTTGAGCTTTTGGTGTTTTCCCTAAGAGATAAGTTGACTTTAAATTATTGTAAATTGTCACAACCACCAAACTAAAAGAAATAAATGCCAAGAGGGAAAAAGAATGGCAGTTCTTTGAGATGAGTATGGATGCTCAGAGGTTGGCACACCTACTGTGCTTTACACTGTTTATATAGGGAGCCCTGTTTTGTTTTTCTTATTTGGTGTATCTTTTTTTTTTTTTTTTTTTTTTTGACAGGCAGAGTGGACAGTGAGAGAGAGAGACAGAGAGAAAGGTCTTCCTTTTGCTGTTGGTTCACCCTCCAATGACCACCGCGGCCGGTGTGCTGCAGCCAGCACACCGCACTGAGCTGATGGCAGGAGCCAGGTGTTTCTCCTGGTCTCCCATGGGGTGCAGGGCCCAAGGACTTGGGCCATCCTCCACTGCACTCCCTGGCCACAGCAGAGAGCTGGCCTGGAAGAGGGGCAACCGGGACAGAATCCGGCGCCCCGACCGGGACTAGAACCTGGTGTGCCGGCGCCACAAGGCAGAGGATTAGCCTATTGAGCCACGGTGCCGGCCCCTTATTTGGTGTATCTACAATTTCTGAATGCTTTTGTATTTGCAAGGCAAAGCACTGTAGGGATGTTTTCTGTAGTTTTATATTTGAATTCCCCTTGACTGAATTTTTGTGTGAATAGTAAATACTATTCATGTTAAAAATTCTTAAGATTATTTATACCATTGTTAATTACATATTTCCTTATATTTTAATGTTTACTACAGGCTAGCATTTGATTCAAGACTGATTACCATCAGAACGCTATATTTTGGTAAAAATGAAAAGGCACATTATAGCTTTGCAAAGTAAGAGTCACAGTGTTCAATTAAAGAAATCTAATTTGAAAGGCCTTTGCAGTGTTAGAAAATAGAGGATTTTTTTGTAGCTGTGGATTCTATTTCACAAAGAAACACAGAAAGTTTTCAAATACTTGTAAATCAACCTTTACTAATGATATGCTTTCTATAAATTACCCAGCTTTCATCAGTGGTCCCATTAGGATTTTATTCCATCTGAAATTAGCTGGCATAACAACTTCCTGAACACTCTATACCTATAGTTATTGTTGATACTTCTGGTCATATTTTCCCTATATAGATTTCAAATGGTCATGGTAGATGAACTACACATCTCCCTAACTGATATTGCATATTTGGGCATATTTCACTATCAGGAACAGGAGTCAACTCCTGCTGTGACCTATGTCACAGCAAAATTCCCATGTTTTGCCTGGGTGCTGGCCTCTCTCCCTCTTATCTGAAGCATTTGGATAACTTTGTCAAAATTGGAAAGCTCCGTAGCTTCCCTTATCCCAGTTACCTTATCTCTTGTAGAAAATTGCCTTTTAAACTCTGATAATTTCATTATATAATTCCCTTAGCAGAGTCCTTAATACTCACTGTGGATTCTTTTTTGAAGTATTTTGATGACATTATAATCCTAATGACACAAATCTAATGTTCCAGACAGTGTGATTAAAATCAATGCTTGCATGAATTCTAATGAAGATGACCACCTTCTCTCATTACTCACAGCAACGAATTACCATTGAGCCAGGAACATCTTATAGGTTGCAAGGCCTGAAACCAAACAGCTTGTACTACTTCCGTCTGTCTGCTCGCTCCCCTCAAGGCCTGGGTGCTTCTACAGCTGAGATATCAGCTAGGACCATGCAGTCAAGTAGGTGTCTCTCTTTGCTTGCTGACTTTCTGCTCTTTTTTTTTTTTTTAAACTAGGGGATGTAGCTGGTTTTTATCCCTGCCACAAACAAGCCTGCTCATATAATAGAAGTTTCTATGTTTGTTAGAATCCAGATTCAGAATTAGAGTACAACCATGATCTATATTGGTTTCAAACTTAGTTCGAATATCAGAGCCCAAATGGAGTCTCAATTGAAAGACTTTCAGAGAAGTTAATAGACATTCATGGATGAAAAATAAGTGAAGAGTGTTAGATCGTGCCCCATTTGATGAATTACAAGAATATAAAGCAAAATTCAGGATAAGAACTAGAAATAATCAGAGGAGGGCTTAGCTAAGTAATGAGACAGCAAAAAATAAAACTTTTATCTTTTTTGTAAATGCATGGGTTTTAAGTTTGCTAACAAACAAGTCGTTATCACACATGTTTTTCCCCAGAGAGAAGCCCACCTTTTATGTCTGGTTTTCTATTAACTCTGTAAGCAGTACATGTGGAAATTTGGAACATTCACAGAAAAACTGTATTTGGAAAAATGTAGGAATAATGGAATAGTCACCAGCACATACACAATCCTAAATTGTGTTTTGTTTCCTCAGGTTTAATACTTGTTTCTGAACTGTTACCCTTAAGCATAGTTCTGTTCATCACAGTGGGGTTCATTATGCCCAAGGCAGCTTTTTTTTTTTTTTGGCATAAAGTGTTACATAGAGATTGTTTTTGATGGGAAGCTTGATGGCCTTTTAAACTATTAATTGTTCTTTATTAGAAGTATCTATAATTAGTCTACAAACAGTAGTTTACATTGACTTGAAGAGTTTTCTTGACACAGTTTTTTTGTGTAGTAGATTCTGTATGCTTTTTGGCATTATGTTATACAAAATAGAAATATATAATATGAACTTAGTGACTTTTGTTGAGAGGCTGCTACGTTAACCCCATAGTTTGAATTATTAGCAAATATGAAATGTACTTTTAAAATATGAATTTGTTTCACATAAGCACTTCTCTCATTTCATTTAATATAGAAACTTGAAATCTTTTAGGGTTTTTGATGATAAAATTCATATTATTCCTCCTAAATCAAAAGCTAATTTTTCATGTGAAAAGTATTAGAATTCTATTAATCCATGAATGATTATAACTTATACCATAAAATTTTCTGTCATTTAAAAACTGAAACATGTAAAGTAATACATGTCTGAATGTCTGCTTTGAATTCAGTGTAGGCTTAAATAGTAGTGTAGAAGATAATTTCTCAAAATACAGCATTTAATTTCTATATATAGTTTGCAAATTTCACTTTTTTACATAAATACATACATATGAAATAGAATATCTACAACCACATCAAAAGCTTTTCTATACTTGATTTTGTTAAAATGAAAGTTTCAAGTGGTATCGCATGTATTCTTAGAGAATAGGAGATCTGAAAGTAGCAGTCTAATGAACACTAAATCAGAGTTTTCAAAAGAATGGCAAATGGGCCCTTGCTGTTACACGTACAATTCAATTTATTAGGCATATTGATAATGTATATAAAATATTTTTATAATTTGAGATGTAAGAAACTCTAGTCAGAATCAATAAAAAAATACTCTAGTGATTATTGCAAACCGTATTCTGAATTTACAATGCTGTCCTAAGAGAATATTTTGTCAGCTTTTCATTTTGAATGGAATGAATGGTGAACCCAGTGGTAAACCCTAGGCGTGTAAATTAAGAAAGATTAGTGTACTCTAAACAAGTGGCACTCCATAAAATTAAGAATCCCTAAATCCAAGGGAACCCCCCAAACTACAGACTCAAATAGAAAAATTAGAATGGCTTCATTCATTCTACCATATACATTATCTTAATTGTGTGTGTGTGTGTGTATTTGTAGCTTATTCCAATTGTTCTTTTTTAGGAACATATAATATCTATATGAACAATTTATGATTATAGCTGTGTTGCTTTTGTTGTTTTTTTCTAAATAATCACATTTGGTTAATTTGATGGGAAATAATTGCTCAGAAGGTAACCAGTTTATTTTAGAATGGGCAATAAGAAAGTTTATCATCTAATGCTTATGTAAACCCTACTTTGTCTAATTATGTACAAAATGAATGAAATTTTGCACATAAGTAATATCTTTTCCAGATGGTTCTTGGGTTTTCTTTCTAAACAGTTATTTTTAATGGCTGTGTTATTAACATTTTGTAAGAGATAGATGATCATTATTAATTTTACTAAAATTTGCTGGTGGGACCTAATTCTTCACTAGCAATGGTGTCTCAAGAAGAGTTATAATAAAAAGCTGAAAGCTGGCATAGGGTAAGTACAAGTTACAGTCAGAATCAACAAGCCTGACATTACCCTCGGGTAGGTAAATCTTGGACTATGCATTTTCATCCTTTATTGATTCTGCATGCTCACTGTGTATGGGCTAGGATCAATGTTAGGTTAACACTTTTCATTAAAATTGCTTAGGCAGACTCAATTTTTTCAGCTAGACTAAAACCTTTTGTGTTTGTTGGGTTTTTCTTTTTTCTTTTTTTCATTTTGATCTGGTGGCAAGGCATCTAACAGTTGTAACTTTTCATTCTTAAAAAAAAAAGTTCACACATGAATACTGTATATGAGTTGTCCTCATTGTAGAATGTAGAAGCAAAGGGTTGGAATGACATCTGTGAAGCGTTGTAAGGCTGCCAAGTTAAAAAACACAACTATTTGCAACTTCTTGGAAGCTGCATAGTCAGACTAGATGTGGTGGGGAATACTGAGGGATTGGTTTAGGAGAAGAATTTAAATTGCAGGTAGGTAATTTTATTTGAGGCTCTATTATCTCAAGGTTTCATTTTCACATGTTCCCCCCACCCATTATTTAACATTTTTTGGTCATTTATTCATTTTTTGGTTAATTCATATTACTAAGCCAAGGTACATAAATTTTGTCTTTAAAAATTTAAGTTTCAAAACCTTATTTTCATTTAGTTGTCCTTATTGTTCGTTTATTTATTTTGCCTTTTCTTTTGTTTTATCATTTTTTTTTTCCAACCACTCCTGTCCTTTCACTCAAATCCTCCTTTAACTCACTACCAAAATAAGAGCCGTCAGCTCCTCCTCAAGACATTAGTTGCACCAGCCCAAGTTCCACTAGTATTTTGGTAAGTTGGCAACCTCCACCAGCGGAAAAACAGAATGGCATTATCACGGAATACTCCATCAAGTATACCGCAGTGGATGGGGAAGACGACAAACCTCACGAGATTTTGGGAATTCCTTCGGACACTACCAAATACCTTTTGGAACAGCTGGAAAAATGGACTGAATACCGGATCACTGTGACGGCCCACACAGATGTCGGCCCTGGTCCCGAGAGCTTGTCCGTGTTGATTCGAACCGATGAAGATGGTATGTTGCCTCCGCTCCGTCAGTTTGCACCCTTCTGACACAATCTTGGTCTGCTGTCCTTTGATAGGCTAACAGTAACCAATTTTTCTCTGCTCATCTTTTTACCCAGCATTGTTTTTTGCCAAAGATCTGTCTTTGTTACAGCCCAGGCATTTTTTTTTTTCACATCTCAATGCAATATTTTGCTTCATTTAAAAGAACAGTTTGCTCCTATGGTCTTGCAATCCAGCCCTTGTTTGTACCTCCATCTAAAGTCTTCTGTGTTTCTCTTGGCTTTTTGTAATCACTTCTTATACATTTTTGAAGTTAACTTTTCAAAACTGCCTTCTTATCTTCTTGTTGCCTTTTTGTCTTGCATATTTCAGAGACACTGATGCTCAGCGTTCAGTTTTTGGCATCTGTTGTATGGAATACCTTTGATATGAGGAAAAAAGAGAAGATAATCCATATAATCAAGAATCTTTTTATTCTGCTATGTAAAAAGAAACCTTTAAAAAACACACAGCAATCAACAATCAGTTTTTGTTATTATTTCAATGCTTTACCTCTTTGTGCTTTAATGCTTTGAACCTCAAAGCATCTTCCTTGGCTTTTGTACATTTTTTACATGTTTTTCTATTTCTCTGATACTCTTTTTTTCTTCCATTTTTTTTTTTTTGCATCGATCATGTTTTTTGATCTTTTCTTGAATGTAGAGCAGATTGGTTCAGCATTTTCATTGGTTGAAAATGTTTGTATTCTTCAAAGGAAACATAGTGGGTCTACCCATTTTTTCAAAAAAAAAAAAAAAAAACTAAGTAAAGAAAATTCTCTGACTGGGTGGGACAAGTGCCTATAATTTTCTTTTATCCAATGATGTTGTTCCAGTTCCTAGTGGTCCTCCTCGCAAAGTCGAGGTAGAGGCTGTCAACTCAACATCTGTTAAAGTCTCATGGCGCTCACCTGTGCCCAACAAGCAGCATGGCCAGATCAGAGGATACCAGGTGCACTATGTGAGGATGGAAAATGGAGAGCCCAAGGGCCAGCCCATGCTGAAGGACGTCATGCTGGCTGATGCACAGGTAAGACTGGGAAATGATGTGCTGTTGTGTTTATATTGCTTATCTTAGTCTGTACCTTTAAATGAGCCTGATTCTTAGTTTTTGGATATTTTTTAAAAGTTTATACACAATTCTCATTTTTAAAAACACATTGTTGTATATTTACCTTTTTAGTAAGAGTTGATATAAGGTAAGGAAATGAATTGTAACATAACAAAGCCTGGTGAAAAACATGTAACTCTTTTCTTAAGATACAGAGATGTAGGCCGGCGCCGCAGCTCACAAGGCTAATCCTCCGCCTTGTGGCGCTGGCACACCAGGTTCTAGTCCCAGTTGGGGCGCCGGATTCTGTCCCGGTTGCCCCTCTTCCAGGCCAGCTCTCTTCTGTGGCCCGGGAGTGCAGTGGAGGATGGCCCAAGTGCTTGGACCCTGCATCCCATGGGAGACCAGGATAAGTACCTGGCTCCTGCCATCGGATCAGCGCGGTGCGCCGGCAGCAACGCGCTGGCCGTGGTGGCCATTGGAGGGTGAACCAATGGCAAAGGAAGACCTTTCTCTCTGTCTCTCTCTCTCACTGTCCACTCTGCCTGTCAAAATAAATAAATAAATAGTTAAAAAAAAGATACAGAGATGCAGCTCCCTACAATTATATTGAGTTTTCCTTTCTCACTTCAAAAGATTGATTGACGTAATCAAATGAAAGGGGAAAACTAGTCAATCATTGGCTTATGAACTCTGTTTGCCAAAAGTATCTGAAATGAGTTGATCTAATTTCTAAATATATGACTTTTTCCATAGAAGTCTAGACATTTTAATTCAGGGAGGAGTGTTCAGCTGTATTTTGTTCAGTATTTCTTCATCAGATTTTTCATATTACAGGTTGTCAAAAAGTTCATGTGTGTGTGTATCATAAAAAAGCTATACATGGATTTAAAAATTTTATGACCTCAAATAAACTTATCTTTTGATTCCATTTTTTGATGAAATTTTTGATGCCTTGCTTTTGGTGAAAGTGTTTTATGGCCCAAGAAATTAAGATAATGATCATGATGATAACACTTTGAGGGGCCGGCGCTGTGGCATAGTGGGTGAAGCTGCCACCTGCAGTTCTGGCATCCCACATGGGCGCCGGTTCAAGTCCTGGCTGCTCCTCTTCTGATCCAGCTCTCTGCTATGGCCTGGGAAAGCAGTAGAAGATGGCTCAAGTCCTTGGGCTCCTGCACCCATGTGGGAGACCTGGAAGAAGCTCCTGGCTCCTGGCTTCAGAATGGCATAGCTCTAGCCATAGCGGCCAGTTGGAGAGTGAACCAGCAGATGGAAGACCCCCTCTCTCTGCCTCTCCTTCTCTCTCTGTGTTACTCTTTCAAATAAATAAATATTTAATAAAAAAACTTTGAGTTTTTCAGAGAATCATCTTGATCTCTTATGTTGTTAGTTTCTTTTTTTTATAAAGAGTACTTGAGTATTAGTAAAAATGAGTACTTGAGTATGTTAGAAATTCTATTGACTTTTTTAAATTTATTTTTATTTACTTGCAAAGCAGAGTTACAGAGAGAGGGTGACGGGGTGGGGGAGAGAGAGAGAGAGAAAGAAAAAGAGACAGAGAGAAATAGATTCCATCTACTTGTTCACTACTCCAAATGGCCACCAATGGCTAGAATTGGACTAGGGGGAGGCCAGGAGCCTCTTCAGGTTCTCCCATGTGGGCACAGGAGCCTAAGCACCTGGACCATCCCCCACCACTTTTCTAGGTGCATCAGCAGGGAGCTGAATCAAACATGCAGCTGCTAGGACTCCAACTGGTGCCTATATGGGATGCCCCCGTTACAGGTGGCGACTTAACCTACTAGCCACAGTGCCAGCACCAATTCTACTGATCTTAAGTCAAAGATTCACAACCCTGATGTAACAACTTGGTTTTGTAATCAGTTTCTTAAAATAGAACATTGAAAAATTGCCATTTTTACAAGCTACAGGTGATTCAAAGATAATGCCATCTTTCTATTCCACCTTGAAATGAAGAGGAAAATTCCAGTCTATCCATGAAGTACTGGGAATTATACATAACTCATGTATGGTTTAGCTTACTTTTGCTGTATTGAATGATAATGGTTTATCATAGTGGTGGGATATTATCAATGTTGGAGTGCTTTGCTAATCCAGAAAATTGGTAGCTGGGTAGGGAAAACTTTGGGGAAATTCTGAAATTTATTTCAAATGAAAATGCCTTCATTTTCAAATGAAACTGAACAAAATTATGAACCACGCTGAAAATTGCTCCACTAGGTTTATATTCTTGTCTCCCTAAAATACAAAGGCATTCCACATCCCTGTGCTTTTAAGGGAAGCATTTACTCTCAGTGTTCCTGCTGAAGTCAACTCACAAAAGTGCTTACGTTTGCTGTAGTTTAGAAACATTCTTACTAAAGGCATATGACTACGTGGCTCCCTTACCTAACCCAAATCCAGTTGCATGGTTTGTATTTGAAGGCCACCTCTGAAATTGTAGGAGATTCACAGTATGGCCTCTTATATTTATTTTGTACTGCATAGAAAGTAGGAATTTCTCATACAATAATATTAATAAACTCTATCTGGTATATTTTATTTATAATTCTGTAATTATAAAAAAGAAAGCAGTATGACAACCAGTCCTTACCTATTTTTACTTTATAGAAATAAATTTATAGAAGTATAATTTTATCTGAATTTTCATTGTGAAATATTCTGGTTAATGGTGTTACATAATACCAAATGCACTGAATGTGAATTCTACCTTTTGCTAGTGTAGTTATTGTTTTCCTCTGTATACTTTGCCTTTTCTTTATTAATGGCTAATTTTCCTTTTTTTTTTCTTGCCCTTCTCATTTATCCTCATGATTATTCATTGAAATTTCATTACATCTCATAGGTCTTTATTGAGGATATAAAATTTCAATATAATGAATGATATTAATCTAAATAGTAGACTAGAATTAATTATGTAACCCAGGAAAGAGTCAAAATGAATGTCATGAAGTAGGGTATGATTAGAAATATCTAGTGTTTTACAAGTCACTATTGATTACTTCCGTGAACCAAGCATTTTCTTTAAAATTAGCTGTTTTTAGTGGTAACACTAATAGAGTATATTTAATTTGACCTCCCAATTGGGAGGGAGGGTGGCAGCGTAACGTATTTCTGTTCTTTGGAAATTTATTGTACTTAATACATAAATTGCTTTTGTGGTTCAGTATTTTAATGTAAGGAAGACAACATTGCCTTTATAGGCTACAAATTTCTCCTCATTTCTTTTTTATTTTGTCCCTCCTCCCCCAACCTCATTAACCTCATTCAGTGGGAATTTGATGATACTACTGAACATGTGAGTAATGTTTGATTGCCTTGTCAGAAAACAGACTATGTATGCTTGGTTTTTTTCTGATTCCCTTTCATTTATCTGTAGTTTATCATAACATTTTGCTTGGATGCATGAACTAACAAATTATCTTTACTATGTGGTGCACTTTTTATGTTTGTTTTTGTTATGTGAAATCAGCATGGTGCCACTGATAACATAAGAAATGTAATGGGGTCATGATACTTGTTTTGATGGCTGCTACTAATTTGGTCTCATGACACAGTCAGAGGAGGCATGCTGTAAGTGGAGGCATCACAGATTGGAGATATCAAATTATATGATGTAGACTGCTACAAAATCCTACTCTAGCATTATGTGTTTAATATATAGTAAAACATATATCTGGAACTGATTATCTAAAACTGGACATCCTGTGAAGTGCCCATACAAATATGGGTGAAATTTACTGGATCATTCCAAGAAGTAAAAGATGTCTCACTGAAGGAGGTCTGTTTTTAATATGTGTTGAGTGAGGGGTTTATGTTACTTATTGAAAGCCTGTTATATATTAAGAAACTATAGGAGATACGTGATATTAACACCTGCTTTCTAGGAGTTTACTCAGTCCAGATGGCAAAGAACAATGCAAAGTTCTGAAAAGTTCCATGAAATGTAGAAAACAAATTGTTTAAAATAATATATAATGCATTAGTAAATGAATTACAGTGTCAGTGCTGGAATTCATAAACAGTGGTTCAGGATAGCAGAACAGGTCCTGAAGCTTTTTAAAGAATTTTGGAGTGACTAGAGAGTGAATAAATGAAAAAGAATTGTATGTATGTGCATGTATGTATTATATATATACATATATAATAACATGTACCTCATGTGTGTGTAACTGTATATATATATATATATAGATACATAGATACATAGAGAGAGAGAGAGAGAGAGAGAGAGAGAACAAGGACACACAGAGACACAGAGAGAGCTTTCTTTTTGCTGATTCACTCTCCAAATGCCTACTATGGTTCTATGGCTAGTGCTAAAGTCAGAAGTCAAGCACTCACCCAGGTCTCTCATGTGGGTGGCAGGAACCTGACCACTTGAACTCTCACCTGCTGCCTTGTAGGGTCTGCTTTGTCATGAAGCTGGAGTCAGGAGCCAAGTGCTGAACCCAGCCCTCTGAGGTGGGACATGGCTGTCTTAACAGGCACCTTAACCACTAGGCCTGAAAGGAAAAAAAATTTTAAAGATGAATTCAGCAATAGCAGTCAGTGACATTGAGTTAGTAAATTCAACATAAAGGAAGGTTTCACGGTAGTGAAGAATAAATACAGCTGCTAAGTAAATTACTATATAATGTTGAAAAAATATGAAGTGTTAACCTGATTAGTCTTGAACTCTTAATAGTGGAAGAATATAGAAAAATATTAAAAAGATAAATAATGTAGAGTTTAGAAGGAAGGTGTTATTTGATTTGATGAATAACTATTGCCAAAGCACAGGGCCCTTTTTGAGAAGCCTCTTAAAATATACAGGGAGTCAATTCTCATGGAACTGACATTGTAAGAGTGTTGACACACAGTAAGAAATACATTGTTTGTCATGATTCAGCACACACATGTGTTCAGGTAAAATGAAAGTTTAATAAAACCACACTTGACGTTTAAATACAGGATCAACTCTAGCATTTTGTATAAAAGTCTATTCTGTTTGCTTTTGTTGTTGTTTTTTGTTTAAATACTGCTCATGACTGACTAAATTGATTTCATGACCTACTAAATGGGTCAGTGTCTGGAGTGACTTAGTGGATAGATTCAGCAGTATAAAGATAGCTCATAGGGGCCGGCATTGTGCCGCCTGCGGAGCTGCCATCCCATATGGGTACCATGGGTGCCAGTTCCAGTCCCAGCTGCTATATTTCCGATCCAGCTCTCTGCTATGGCCTGGCAAAGCAGTAGAAGACGGCCCAAGCTCTTGGGCCCCTGCATCCATGTGGGAGACCTGGAGGAGGCTCCTGGTTCCTCGCCTCAGATGGTTGCAACTCTGGCCCTTGCAGCTATCTGGGGAGTGAACCCACAGATGAGGTACCTCCCTGCTTCTGCCTCTGTGTAACTCTGCCTTTCAAATAAATAAGTAAATCTTTTTTAAAAATACCTAATAGATAACAAGTAAAATTGAGCATTTTACTAAGTCATGAAATAAAAGTTCAACCAGAGTTGAGGCAGCACAGACAAAAACAGGATAGAAGTGATCAATATTTTAAGGGGAGAATTGACAAAAAGTTGCTAAAAACTTGAGGAAGGGCAAGAATTCAAAGAGCTCATAATTACTGAAGGTGTATGTGTGTTACCATTCATTTAAACACAGAAGACAGGAGATTCTGCTTCTGGGAGTGATGTGAATTTTAGTAGGTTGAACTGAGGTAATGATGGATAGTACTGGGAAAACAGATATTTAAACTGGGCCTGGATAAGAAGTCAGGATGGGAGATGAACTTGGGATAATGGCAGTAATAATCATTTAAGGTTTAACAATGGAGGTTTTCTAGGAATAGAGAGACCCAGCAACTATGACAGAACCCAAGGCCTTGCAGCTTTTAACAAACAGGATGGGAAGTGCATTGAAGATGGGACAGCAGAAGTGAAGGAGAATGAGGAACTGTGACATCAGAAAAGTGTATTCCAAATAGTTTATGGAATGTGGAATTAAAAGATGTTTATTTTGGTGAAGAAATTTTCAAAATACATGCGTATGAGAGAGCTTTATTAAAGTTCCTGGAAAATATATATTTTGAAAAGACTGCATGAGTTTCAAAAAATTTTGTACCAAAACAAACTTATCTTTTGACTCCGTATTTCTGTGACAACTGAGGCAGTGCTTCCACAGCTTTAGGAGAGAAAATGCAACCCAAGAGTTGATACAATCATGGCAGATAGAGGTGAAGCCAGCTGAGATTATACAACTGCAAGTAACTGCCAATTTCAAATGGTGGTACTTTTGTTAGCCTGTACCAACCTGAGCAAGAAGAAGGATGCATGGAGTGAACCACGATTTTATGAAAGAGAAATTCATAGAAGGCTCAGAGTACATGCATTTCTTGCCACAACATTTGGTGATAGAACAAAACCTTCTTTTCTCTGTTACTCTTGCCTGTTCTATAAGAGGAGTCCAGTGCCATCTGAGAAGGACCTTGGAAACAGTAGTGTTGCCTTCACCAATCATAATTTTTGGAATACTTAGCCTTTATTTTGTAATTTAAAATATTGTTCTTGGGTGGTTTCCTTGGTTTTTATATCCTTTACAATGTTAGTGAAACCATTCCAAGCTCTGTAAAATAAAATGTCTCTTACTGTTGATCTAGCCAAATAGTTCCCAACATCATTTCAAAATTGTATCTAAAATTCTTGTATTTCTACAATGATAATATTCTTGCTCTTTTGAGAAAACACATTGTCAAAAGCTATCATATTTGGGATCAGTTTCAACAACTGAGTTCTCTGTTTCCTCTTACAGCCTTAACTAAAAAAAGCCCTACTCTATTCTGTACAATCCAACCAATCTACTTAACACAGTGACTTTAGATTTGGAAGACAGTGCCATAGCTGTGCCAAAAATCTAAAAGGATTTTTATATTTCTGTGTGTGAATGCGCACATGTATGCATGCACACATGTGTGTATGTATATATGTGTAGATTTAAACATATACCAGAGCAAGTTACTACCAGTAACTACATTGAGTACAATGTAAAGAATCATGTAACCTGCAATGTGGAAGAACAGTTCAAAGATCATCTGGTCTTTGACTATCATAGCTTAAGAAATACTTTGTGATTTTTCACATTCTCTCAGTAGTTAGAATTATGTGAGAACAAATTAGTGATTTGGTAGATCTCAGTACACTTGTAGTCTAGTTTTATGGCTGGCTGACTAAATAGCCAGCAAGTTCTCTGTGAGGAATAATTCCATACAATTAACCAGTGAAAATTCCTAGAGTCCTAAGAAAAACCTGTTCTTCAGGATACCTAAGTCTAACAGATGAACTATTGGGCAAAATACTAACATGGTGATAAAACAGACTGCATTGCTCTCAGTCCTTTCACCACTCGGTGGGCCACGCTACAGAGGGTACAGAGTGCTGCTGGCATCAAACGCAACTGGTTTGTGATGTGCTCACTGTGAGCCAGGCATAGCTCCAGGAGTTTACCTTGCATAATTCTCTACATCATCCAATAACCCTGTAGGGTCCTATTATAATTAAAATTTTACAGTGGAAATTGTGGCACAGGGAACTAAACTGGCTTGCCCTGGATTACCAAGCTGTGAGTAAGGACAGGTCGACTTAACATCAAGAATTAAGGAGGCAAGGCTCCAGATTTTGTGTTTTTAACTACTGTCCTTAACAACTGCTTCTTAGGATGCCTGAAGACCCCACTTTAGTGTCAGCTTGAAAACAGATCTCCGCAGCATGGGCTGCAGGCATGAGACACCCAGTGCTTAGCATGGCTGCTGGGGACTTGTAAGCATGCACAGAGAGAAGATGCATGACCTTGTTCCCCTGAGGGCATTGGTGGTAATATGTTGTCGAACAATGTTATTCTATGTGTCATTACAGGATATGATCATTTCTGGGCTACAACCTGAAACTTCCTACTCCCTCACAGTCACAGCCTACACCACCAAAGGAGATGGTGCACGCAGCAAGCCTAAACTGGTGTCCACCACGGGGGCAGGTAATTATGTCCGCGCTTTTATGTGCCTTGAATGCTAACACAGACTTTCCAAATAGTGTGGGTGGCTTTCATCATTATTTCATTGTGATAAAATAAGAAGAAATAAGTAGACTTTGAGTTAACTTGTATTTTTTAGTTCAGGGCCAAAACCAAAATCCATGTAATCCCTTTGTTCAAATTTTTCCATTGGTCATTCAGCAAATATTTTTGTGTATTTACTAGGTGTCACACACCTTCCCTAGTACTGAGAATGCAGCAATGATCAAAGCAGAAACGTACTTTGCCCTTATGAAATTCATTTCTGATGAAAGCTATATCATTAGCAACTGAACAAAGGGCTATATAATGAAATGTTAGAAAATGATAAGGAAGACCCTAGGAGCTATGAAGGTGTCTTAGAGGGAGGATGTGGAAGGGGAGAATGGAGTGATGTGGAGCAGCAAGCCCCGTGAAGTTGTGGAGGGAAAGCCTGTGGGCAGGAAAGGTCACACACAGCTTCAGCGTCCCCCAACACCCAACCCTTTCAGAGCTACCATTTTGACCTAAGATCATGGCTCACCTGGTTTGGGGTTTCGGTCACTTCCTCCCCTGTGTCCTCTGCTGTGAGTATTGCAAAGAAGCAAATGCAAATGGCAAAGAGAATGAAGAAACACAGTGAGCCTAAACATTATGAAATTGCTGAGTTCTGAGGACCAAAGCTTCTGCCATTGCTCTTCAGTAAGACATGGTAGGAAAAACCAGCATCAAGGAAGACCTGGTATAAAACCAGTCAATGAAGAGAAATGACAAAAGGACCCTCCTCCAAGCCCTGTATTTAGCAAGCTCCTGTAGAACACTGGAACGATGCTTTGATTTACTTTCCCCGAATCACCTCTCACACAACTTTTCAGGAACACACCTCCACGCAAAGGCATAAAGCAAAGAACAGCTGTGATGCTGAGCGCCCTCCTGGGTGCCATGCTCACTGCCAAATTTGTCTAAATGTCATAAGATTTGCCTCGCTCACATCCTGCCACCTGGAACTGCCTCAAGCAGCAGGAATACAGATGGCAAAACTCCTTTAAGGCAGAATCTTTGGAGGTTGTTTTCTTTAAAAAAAAAAAAAAAAACAACATTGTATCAAGCTAATTCAGTGGCCGAATAGGAGATACCTATTCAGTGAGGGGCCTGATGCCCTGGTGAGTATCTGCCTATGGAAGTAGCCACTGCTGGAGCGTAGCCAAGGCTAAGCCTGAAAGACTGAATCCCAAACTGAAGAAAATAGATCTTCTTTGCTCACACACTTTTTCCTTAGCCTTTATTTACTGACTTCTCTTTGTTTGAAAGGCAGAGATACAAAGAGAAACAGAGACCTTCCATATACTGGCTCACCCCTCAAAAACCCACAAAAGTCAGGGCTGAGCCAGAATAAAGCCATGACAAAGTCCAACCCACTACTCCACAATACGTGTCCCTGTGGGTTTGTTTGTTTGTTTTTTTAAACTATGTGCAGGGGCCAGCATTGTGGTGTAGTGGGCTGAGATGCGGACATCCAGTGTGAGCGCTGGCTGGAGTTCTGCTCCACTTCAATTACAGCTCTCTCCTAACGCTTTGGGAAAGCAGCAGAAGGTGGTCCAAGAACTTGGGCTCCTGCCCAAGAGCGTGGGAGACACAGAAGAAGCTCCTACCTTGTGGTTTTAGCCTGCCACAGCTCTGCCTATTGTGGCCATTCAGGGGAGTGAAAAAGCACATAGAAAATCTTTCTCTCCCCCTTTGAAATCATAAATCTTCTAAAAAATACATCCAGTTATACATATTCTATTATCAACACAAATGAAGTTTCTAAAAAGGAACCCTAGCAATGTTGAGAGCTTTGTTAGTTTTAGTAGTTCTTTATTTACTTAGTTTCATTGTACTTGAAAGGCAGAGAGACAGAGAGACATGTCTTCCACTGCTAGTTCACAACCACCTGGGCTGGTCTCCAGGAGCTTAGAAATCAATCTGTCTTCCACATGGGTGGCAAGGACCCAAGTACTTGGGCCTTGTACATTAGCAGGAAGCTGGAATTGAAAGTGAAGCTGCAACTCCATTCAGCCTCTCATATAGAAGGCAGAGGCCCAGTCACTTGAGCCATCGTATGGTCCTTCTCAGTATGCATTAAAGAAAGCTAGATTGGGAGTAGCAGGGACTGAAACCAGACACTGTTGTATGAGATGCAGACATCCCAAGAGGCAACTTAAGCCACTGTACCACACATACCCCCTTTTCACTCACCTTTATAATGATGTCTTAAAAATTTTTTTACTTTATTTCTTTGAAAGGCAGAGTGACAGAGAGGGAGAGACAGAAAGAAAGAAATCTTCCATCTGCTGGTTCACTCCCCAAGTGGCCACATCAGTTGGGGCTGGGCCCGGCTGAAGCCAGGAGCCAGGACTCCCATCCAGGTCTCCAATGTGGGTGGCAAGGGGTCTGTCTAATTGGACCATGTTCCACCATCTTCCCAGGCACATTATCGTAAGCGGTATCAGAAGTAGAGCAGCCATGACTGAAGCCATGCTCAGGTATACGATGTGAGCTTTGGAGGCAGCAGCTTAGCGTTCTTTGCCATACGGGCCCCTACAATGATGTCTTGATAAGCCCAGAATAGCCTACACAAAACATCAAACTCCTATTGTCTATAAGAGGAAGGCTATGTAATAAGAAGGCAAAGTAGAACATTTGTGACCAAGAGTTACCAGATCCTAGAAAAAGGTGTAAGTTTTGTCTGTTTTAATGTCACTAAGTCCAGCTCATCACTGTTAAGTCATCATACAGGCTTTATACAAGTTTTGTTGTTGTTTTTTTGTTTTGTTTTGTTTTGTTTTGTTTTGTTTTGTTTTAAAGAATTGTGGGATTTACTCTCCAAAAGAATACTTGGGAATTTTCATTCAGTTTCACATGTTTCTTAATCAGTAGAGTCTTGACTACTGAGATAGTAAATGGTTACATCTTAGATGCCTGAAAATTTACTTTCTAGAAGTCCACCCAGTAAGCCTGGGATAAAAGTGGGAGAATCCAGTTGAAATTCCAGTAAGAGGAAAATTTTAGTTTTCCTCTGCTGCTAATCTACCAAACACCATTCCTTAGTCATGGTGTATACCTATGCAATTAGTGAACATGTTAGTTTTCTTTTTTGTATACTATTACCAAAAAATTCTTATGCATTTATATTAATGTAGAGAATTTCTGAGTTTTTCTCACAGATGTGGACTTCCAGTAACCACAGTTACACAGAAGTATTTGGTTATAGTTCCCATGGTGAATTCAGGAATTCTCATGAAATTTTATTTCAGTAGTAAAATTCCTAATTATGGAATATTTTTTCATTCAGCATTGCTTCTAGAACATGTAAACAATAATATCATTGAAATAAAGTATTTGTCATAATTTAAGATAATCTGTTTTGTAGATATGTAATGTGAACGATGGTTTGGAGTAAAATGTTGGCTCTTATGTTTTAATGCTTCTTTGATGTTTCCACTTTATTTGTTAATACTTTGAATTTTGACCATTGGTGTACCTCCTAAGATCTTGAGGTTTAAGGCATCCAGAGAATTCATTGACTTGAGATTTTCTGTATATGTTTGCATGACTTTCAGTACTACCTTGCTAGTTTAAGGCTGATCAAATGATGTCTGTGGCCTAGATAATTTGGCAATAGTGGGTTTTAACCAGTTAATTATGATTGTTGCCGTTTTGGTACTAGGTTAAAGTAAGGTTACATTTAGGGCCATTGGGAACGAGTGCCTTGGTCAGTCTCTCATGATTACTACTGACTAGAAGTAATAAAGGGAAGCTGCAAATATGGGCCATTTCTGAAGTCCTCTGGGATGTTCAAGAGGGAATAAGACTATAAGGAAATAAGAAGAATTCAAAGTGCAAAGGAGAGAAGAATGTATAAGTCATGATATAAATTAGGGTTAGTTTATTTCCTTTGCGGCTGGACTCTCTTGTTTCTTCCAATATGCTAACTAACATACAGCCAAAAATAACCTCCAAGCTCTTTGGAGTAATTATTTAATACTCTTTCCTCAAGCTGCAGTGCTGGAATAAGTCGAAATGTTGACCATACTGCTGATACAGCCTTCAAAAGTAGACCGTACAATAACCATACACACACACATACACACACACACTCTCCATGTATAACATCATATGCTGCAACACTTCATTTTTCCAGCTAGACTATTCATGTGTTAGAGGACAAGGACCCTTCTGTGTCCATCTTTACTTTTCTACTCAATCCATGTGCCAGTGAACAAATACTGCACAAAATAAATAACTGGTAAATGTTTATACATAGAATTTCTGGAAACAAGAAATCAAAGGGGATCTGTTATCAATATGTAGAATTTTGAAAAGCTCTTTTTTTTTTTAAGATTTTTTATTTGCTTCTTTTTTTTTTTTTTTTTTTTTTTTTTTTTTTGACAGGCAGAGTGGACAGTGAGAGAGAGAGACAGAGAGAAAGGTCTTCCTTTGCCGTTGGTTCACCCTCCAATGGCCGCCGCGGCCGGCGCGCTGCGGCCGGCGCACCGCACCGATCCGATGGCAGGAGCCAGGAGCCAGGTGCTTTTCCTGGTCTCCCATGGGGTGCAGGGCCCAAGGACTTGGGCCATCCTCCACTGCACTCCTGGGCCACAGCAGAGGGCTGGCCTGGAAGAGGGGCAACCGGGACAGAATCCGGTGCCCCGACCGGGACTAGAACCCGGTGTGCCGGCGCCGCTAGGCGGAGGATTAGCCTAGTGAGCCGCGGCGCCGGCCTTTATTTGCTTCTTTGAGAGAGAGGCAGGTCTTCCATCTGCTGCTTCATTCCCTATATGGCCTCAATGGCTGGAGCTGGACTGATCCAAAGCCAGGAGCTAGGAGCCTCCTTTAGGTCTCCCATGCTGGTGCAGGGGCCCTAGCAGTTGGGCCATCTTCCACTGCTTTCCCAGCAGTGAACCGGATCGGAAGAGGGGAGCCGGGACATGAACTGGCACCCATATGGGATGCCGGTGCCACAGGTGGAAGCTTAGCCTACTAGACCACAAAGCAGGCCCTTGGAGAACTCTTTTTAATGGTATATGCAGTGATGCAGAACTCTTAGTGTTCCTTTTCTCTTTTTTTAATCCTATATTTTGTCCCCTGGAGGAGATACCACCATCTACCCATAACATATTTAAAGTAGTGCATCTATCATTTTCATCATTCTCACGTTTGTGGAGATTTTTAGGCATTCCTTCATGTGGCCAGCATCCCTTGAGAGTTTAATATTGGGAGTTCTTTGTCTAGCTAACTGAGCATTCACGTCTTTATTGAATTCTTTACTTGTGCTTCTGGGTGCTTCCAGATCGGTTGTCTACCAGTTTGTGAGCCTAGCTAATCTCTGCCCACAGAAGGGATGACTTTGGTGGGCAGACTGAGATATTCTGGCACAGCAGTAAGAGTCAGTAGGTCAGTGCTGACGTTCTTACTTCCAGAGTGTAACTTGATATCATGCTTTCAAGCCCTCAAAGCCCACAAGCCTTAAATCCTCCAATGAGAAAGGGCAAGTCAGCATCAGAAACAAAAGACCTTATTCCAAAACAAGCTTTGACTCCCACAGAAGAATACATTACATTTTCATAAACTTACTGGGATTTTTACCTCAGAATTTACCAGTCCATTGTGTCTCTCCAAATTTGTACCATAACAATATTATAAAGTATAACACCAGATAGAAAAACATACTCAGAGCTAGCAATTATTATTAGAATACAATCTGTATTTATGATTTATACCAAAAAATTTAAAAGTATTTTTATTTATCCTAACTTTCCATGCATCACAGAGAAACAAGACACTCAATGTATATACTGTTGCACAAATCCATTGAATGAGAATTTGGGGCAATTTTAATACCTATATTTAAAAAGATGTATTGTTCCTAGAGAACCTGAAATTTCGTAGTTATATTTCCAGCCAGCAGTTTGAACTGAGTTACATTTACTTCCAGATATATTCTTTACTGAAAGCCCTGTCACACCATGGGTTTTTCTCAGCAGAGATTCAAGTACTTTAATCCTTGGCACCATCTCTGGCATTTTAATGGGCTCACCATGTAAATGCTGTACACACATAAAGGGGCAATGAGGATGTCTGCCAATGTCTACCTTCAAGTGCTGTTTTAAAATTAAAATTATTGTAAATATCATAGTAAAAACAAATGAATAATTCAAGCAGTCTCCTAGTTATGTATTAATGGATTGTTTTCTGAGAGTCTGTTAGTTGGTTGTTAAGATTCTGATGCATTTTTTTCCCTGGGAAACAATCACACATGTATATTATTGCCATATGAACTTCAGGGACCTCTGTTTTTCATACATTGTAGATTAACTGAGTTATGTAAACTTACTACGAGTTTACTCAGCATGTGAAACAAAACTGTTACCAAATTAATTAAGGCTGTAACTGTCTACATGAATGTGCTCTCAGGGAGAGCGCATCTCCATATGCATCCCAACTTTCTGAAATAGGAAATGAAGAAATTGATCAAATGGATCTGAGGTTAATATTTTATGTATTGCCTCATTCTATTTCCGGGTATTTTTTCCTTTACCTACATTCCCATGATGCTGTTGTTCGTGGCCTGTCTCCCATTTCTGTAAGCTTCCTTTCCTTGCTATGACCTTTTGTCCTCTTTGGTTTGGTTTTGATTCTGATGCTACTCTCCCTGCCTTTGAATCATTCCCAAAGAAGACACTGACTCTGTGCTTTTATCATTGCCTTTCTCTGTAGATTCCAGATAACTTCTGTCCATTAAAAAAATGTATCTGTAATCATTAATTGAATGAGCAAATTATAAGTAATCCATGTTCATGGGAAATTATCTCCTGACCACAAAAAGCTGATTCTGATTATTAATAATTATGGTTAATATTAATGTAATATAAAACATTTTTCAGAGACTTTTACATATATTTCTTCATTTAATAGTTACAACAATGTGACATGTCTTAATATAATACCCATTTTACAGATGAAGAATGTAACAAGAATGACTGATGTGGATAATAAAAATAAAACAGTAGTATAAATTAGATCCATGCTAACTCAAAGCAACATTATTTTGTAGTTTTAAAAATTTAATTTATAAGCAACTTAAGGACAGAGTTAAATGTTAAGCAATGTATTGACCAGAGTTGGGACTGCCTGGCAGTTGTCTCACCTTACTAGTCACTTGACCTTGAATGTTTATATGCCCCTCTGAGATTCATTTGTTTATTATAGAAAATTGAGATTTTAAAAGCTAATCAAAGCACATACTGAGGAATGAGGAATATAAGTCAAATGAGATACTACATACAATACACTTAGTACCACATCTGATATACTGCACATAATAAACAAATGATCCTTATACTTATTATTCATATTGGCTATAGCTAATTGGCTAATCTTTATTCTGATTAATTTCTTTGTGGCATCAACCTTTGAGTGTACAAGTTTAAAATAGGGAAATATTTTCCTTTAAATTGTTTCAATAATTCATATTTTCTGCTATCGAATTTTAGTGTCTGCACATGCCTTAATAAAGTAAGAGAAGGAGTATATTTCCTTGAAAGTATATAGGTCAAGCATTGTTGCTTGTTTTTATCGGTTTATTTATTTGTTTAAAAGTTTATTTGAAAGTCAAAATTACAGATGGAGGGAAGGAGGGAGAGAGGGAGAGAGAGAGAGTTTCCATCTGCTGGTTCACTTCCCATATGGCCAAAATGGTCAGGCTAATGCCAGGAACTTCATCACGGTCTCCCACATGGGAACAGGGCCCCAAGGACTTGGACCATGTTCCACTGCTTTTCCCAGGCCATTGGCAGGGACCTGGATTTAGAAGTGGAACAGCCGAGACGTGAACTGGTACCCACGTGGGATGCTGACAACACTGGTGGCAGAACTCCAGCCCCAGTTGTTTGTTTTGAGGGTGCACTTGGAAATAATGAAATGAGAACACCAGTGGAGTAGTGCTTCCCACTTGGAAATGACTGAAATGTGAATCTCTACTGGTTTGTCTTACCAGTCCCTCCTGTGTGTTCCAGTTCCAGGGAAACCCCGGCTTGTGATTAACCACACACAGATGAATACTGCCCTCATTCAGTGGCACCCTCCCGTGGACACATTTGGACCCCTTCAAGGCTACCGTCTAAAATTTGGCCGCAAAGATATGGAGCTGCTCACTACTCTTGAGTTCTCTGAAAAAGAAGATCATTTTACAGCCACAGACATCCACAAAGGAGCATCTTATGTGTTCAGGCTCTCAGCCAGGAACAAAGTGGGCTTCGGGGAGGAGATGGTAAAGGAAATCTCTGTTCCAGAAGAAGTACCAACTGGATTCCCTCAAAACCTCCACTCAGAAGGCACCACTTCAACCTCTGTGCAGCTATCCTGGCAGCCACCTGTCCTGGCAGAGAGAAATGGCATCATCACCAAGTACACCCTTCTCTATAGGGACATCAACATCCCCCTTCTTCCAATGGAGCAGCTTATTGTTCCAGCTGACACCACTATGACACTCACTGGCTTAAAACCAGATACCACATATGATGTAAAAGTACGTGCTCACACGAGCAAAGGGCCCGGGCCATATAGTCCCAGTGTCCAGTTCAGGACACTGCCTGTGGATCAAGGTAGGATTTGTCTGCTTACGGCCTTCCTCCTTTAAAGGAATGTCGATCTTTGGAATTGAGTATTTTGAAGCTATAAATAACTGATCGGCCCATTCACATTAATAGGTTCAGCAAAAACACAAAGGTAATGTATGTAAAACTTCATACGTTTTGGATGCCTTAGATTTGAGTTATAGAATGCCACGCAAGTCTGGCTGACAGCACCCCAGTGTCCTCAGGTAAGGAGAGCACAGTGGAGTTGACTGAATGGGAGAGAAAAGAGAGCTCTTTATGAGGATGGGGTATTAAAATGAATGCTCTAAACAGGTAGGCGAATCACATTGCTCTTTTTGATCAAAGTAGGCAGCATCTAGTGTAAGCCCTGTGGTCCATCCTGGAAAAGGACAGGTCCTGTGTATTTTTAGGAATAGTTTAAATACACTGTCTTTCCTTTTCCAGCAGTGTTTGCAAAAAATTTTCATGTCAAAGCAGTAATGAAGACTTCAGTGTTGCTGTCTTGGGAGATCCCAGAGAATTATAATTCCGCCATGCCTTTCAAAGTAAGTTGTTTTCTAATTTGCAAGATATCCTGAGTAAAACTGGGGGGAAGGGGGGAGGGAGGAGGGGGGTGGGGATGCGTCTTGGTAGGCTGCGGATTGCGCAGACTGCTTTGATTACGTACTTGCTCTTCTCATTTGTGACTTTTATGTAAGAGATTGTGCTTGCTGCTTGAGAGCATGACCTTCCCACCTAAAAGAGCAGAAGCTCAAACACAGGCCTCACCTTTCGTATAGATTACCTATTGACTGGAACTTAAACTTTTTTACATCTAAGTAAGTGCTTTTGTCTTTCCACCAGAAAGTGGAATTTACATGGTAGTTTGAATTTGGTTATTTGTCTGAATTCTTGGCATTTCTAAACTCTACTTTGCCATTGAGACATATTGTGAGATATTAGCAAGAAGAACATCTTTATGAAATAAGGAGTGGGAAACCGAATTTGAAGGTAAAAATACATTTAGGAGTAGGAATTTAGATTTTCAGAAAGGAACTGATGTGGATAATACATTGAAAAGCCAGAATATTTCTGTACAGATTCCATTAAGATCACATACAGCTGACAAGGCAGATATTGAAATGTATTGTACATTTCCTTGTTGATTATTTTTGTTAGAGACGTTAAATCATGACACAGTTAAGGGCTGACAGGAAAACTGATGCAATGTCTGGAATCGTGGACACTTTTGAGCTCAAGAATCACCCAAAATTAGAACTGACTTTATTTTTCCTTTAGCAAGTACATATTATTTTAGAAGGTATATTTTGGCTCTTTGAATACCAAGCTTTGATTGGTTATATCTTCTTAGATTCTTTATGATGATGGGAAAATGGTAGAAGAAGTGGATGGCCGAGCCACACAGAAGTTGATTGTCAACCTGAAGCCTGAGAAGTCGTATTCATTTGTGCTTACAAATCGTGGAAACAGTGCCGGCGGGCTGCAGCACCGGGTAACAGCAAAGACTGCACCAGATGTGCTACGGACCAAGCCTGCCTTCATTGGGAAGACCAATCTGGATGGCATGATTACTGTGCAACTGCCTGAAGTTCCTGCAAATGAGAATATAAAGTAAGTTAGTTGGTGACATAGGGCTGAAGGGAAAGATGCAGGTAAACAAAGAGTTACATCTCAGTGTTTGTAGTGGCTATAATAACACAGTGCTGAATCTAGGCTTATAGTTCTGCTATCCAAGCTCTGTTGTACTCTGTTCTGATGTTCATTGTAAGACACAGTATTATTCATTTGACACTGGGTTTTTATGTGTTCCAGGAACAGTATTACTTAGAGGAGATAGACAAATAGATCATGGTCCTTATTAGAAAGTATTCTATTGCATAGTACATGGAATAATTTACTCTTAACATTTGATACATCTATTATACCTATGCAGAAGTCTTACAAAGTGCTATAAAGTTAGAAGAAACCTTGGAAAATTAGATTAATAAAATAGTGTATGATTCTATTGTTATATATGTGTAATGAAAAATAGGAAAAGTATCAACATGTTAAGAGTTCAAAATAACATTGGAATAAAATCACAAGCATTACAAAATACAGGTTTCCTGGTCTGGATAGAGCACAGTGTAGAAGCCAATGGACCTGAAATGAAAAATGAACTCCAGTCAGTTAAGTAGTTTCTCCAAGTACACATAGTTGATTGATTGGATAATCAAAAGAAAACAAGAGTATGTTTTCACCAAGACTTGTTACATTACAAGTTACAAGTACTGTGGTAGACCCTGGGGAGTATTTTGTAAAATATATGGTTTCCATTTAGTAATACAGGGTAAAGGTCTTGGAGAAAGTGACATCTAAGTGGAGGCTTAAAAGAATGACAAGAAGTTAGCTGGTCCACAGGAGTGGGGATGGGAAGACAACTATTTAGGCAGATGCTCATGGAAAGATGAAATTAAAGTTATCATATTTTACACCAAAGTAAACATATCTTTTAGCTCCATTTTCTAAGAATTCTTTGGAGACTCTTGGAATAAGTGTGTTGGTGCAGCAGCAAGAGAAGACTCACACTAGTCATTCATCCACCTCTTTCCTCTCCATTAAGACCGTCAGCTTGCACTCAACAAACGCATGGTCTGTGCACACTGTATCAAGAGTACTATGTCTGCGAATAGGTGACTGAGATAAAGCCCTGCCTTACAGTAAACAGATACAGGAAATAGATAATGTGACTATCATAATGGGGTGAGTAGTGCCAGGTACTGCAGAAATACAAAATTCGAGTTTTAACCCAAATTGGTTGTCAGGGGAGGCATTCAGAAAGAGCTGATATCTGAGTCTTGATCTGATATCTGAGTCTTGACGAATGCAGAAGATTAACGAAAGGTGAAAAAGTTCCAAGCAATGAAGGGACAGGGAAAAGATCTAGACAATAACATATACATATATACATATTCTATATATAAGATGTAAGTCTTTAGGGACAGAGCTGTTCAAAGATGAAAATAGTATCATACTCTACATAGAGCATCTATATCATATCATGTAGTATCATATAGTCTACAGCATTTACTGTTAATTCATTTTTCCAAACTTACGTTTAGTTATATGCAAATGATCTTTAGAGATTTTTCAACTAATTGTGTTGGTAAAATGTATAATCTTTCATTGGGAATTGGCATTTTTAATCCACTAGTGGCAAACTTGAGTCTCATTTTCCGGTTTCTAAATGAGTTGAGAATGTTGCAGAATGCATTCTATATTTTAGAGTTGTTCTTTAACTTCTTCAATTTTTCTCTTTCGTTTATGTATTTCCTTCTCTTATATTTCAAATGGGATTCAGGAAAAAGGGATGAAACTTTTTTAACAAAGAGAAAACACCATTATGAAGCAGAAATTATGGAAAAATGTGTTTCCTAAAAATGAATGTTTCCTAAAAATGAATGATTCCTAGAAACATATTCTAGCCACTCTGGGGGGGGGGGGGGAATGAGCAAAAGGCTAAAGTAGGGAAGTGCTTGAATGGGAACAGTGTCACAACCATAGGAAATGAAAGGCAAATCTGTTAGTGAAAGTTTTGGATAATGTTCATTTACTGGACTTCTTAAAGGAGTAATAGGATAAAGTTACCCTTCCTGCCTTCTAGTGTGGCCAGATCAAATATTAACAAGAAACTCTAAAGAATGATACACCATTCTCAGTAATAACAAACTAGCGATTAGAAAAGATGGTAGCTTTTTGTTCAGTATTCTATGGGGAAAATGAAGAGAGGAAACAACTCATTCCAAAACTGTGGGCGGAATATTAACTATACTTAGATGAAAGCAATCTGAAAAAAAAAAAAAAAGTGCTTCCTGTTTTCCAGCAAAATGCAATTTTGGTGATTGAAGGCCACTTTGTTTACTAACAGAAACCTTTTTTTTTTCTCATTTTCAGTTAAATTTATTGGCTAGCCCCTTACCACCTTAAAAAAATGTTTCTTATAAATATATTGGAGACATAGCTGTTTTGCCTGCATATTCTTCCACACTTGGTATCCTTGTATTTTTGTGTGAGGAAGCAGAGAATCTCCCCAAAGGAAAGGCTAAATTCCTCCGGACCCAGCCTTGAGGGTCCCACAGTTATGGTACCAGGAGTTCTGTAATGCTTCAACCGTCTGTTTGAATAGATGTAAGGGGCAGAGTGCCAAATCAGAAAGTCTAGCAAAGCCATCGTTCTTTAGAAGCAAGTAGTGATGACAGAGGGAACTTCTGTGACTTTAGAGAACAGACTTTTACTCTAGGTAGTTAAAAAAAGAAAAGAATCACACAGATTGTACTAAAGGAATAAGCTACCAGACGGCATCCGATGTAAATTAATTCCACAATAACCATTTTATGTTTATAAAAAATGGAAATGAAGAATCAGAGCCTTATGAAATGGAAAACTTCTTTAGTCTCACTAATTTGACTTTTAGAGTCTGTGCTTTTTCTTCTTTTAGAAAAGAAGATTTCTGTGCAAGCTTGACTTGTTGCTTCATAAAATCTGTGTACGACTGGTAGACATTTCATGAGCACCACGTTTGTCAACTGATGCAGTAATACATGCAGTTTGTATAACGTTTTACAGTTTACAGAAGATGTTAGCTGGATTTACTTAGGCCTTGCCATAACACTGTGATGTAGGTATTCTTCCCGTTTATGGAAGAGTAACGTGAGGCCCAGACAGATACTCCGAGGCCTGGCCAAGCTCATAAAGTTGGTGCTGATAATTATTATTAACACAGAGGGCTTATAAGGCCTTATTCAAAGAATGTTATACACATTAACTGATGCCATCCTCACAAGAACAATGCCCCAATGCAGAATCTCAGAACCAGAGATGAATGATTTGGATCTAGGCATGTCTTCAGAGCCCGCATTCTGAACCACACCCTGCCCCTGTGACCATAGATTATTGGACAAACCAGGATATTTTTTTTCTAGAACAATTACTAACCAATTAAGAACTGCCCACAAAGTAAACTTGAACAGAATTGCCCCAGACAAAACTCAGCACCCGATGTGATTAGCACGCTGTGTGGACAGACCACAGACATATGTGTCAAATGTTATAAGGCAGTAAGAATTTAGAAGCCAGTTGAATGCAGATGCTTCCCACAAATCAGCATTGTCATTTTGCTGTTTTACAAATGAGGGAAAGGAGGCTTAAAACAATTAAGTAACTTGCCTGACAACACACATCTGAAATGATTCATAAGCCTTAATCTAAGCATAGAAACTGGAAAGAGTATACAATCTGGTGTGGTTTTCCTTGAGTAAATTAATTTGACTCAAACAGTATACACACAGATGACCATACAAATAAAATGAAAAAATTATGCAAGGAATGCCATTCAGCACTAAACTATGAGGCAGGTTTTGACTTCCCAAATAAAGAATTTGAGAGTACTACCGGCCTGCTGATAAAAAACATCCTGGCTGAATTGGAAGCGGGACTGCTACAAAGACCAGAGCTCACCTTCTCATATAATTATGGAGCTGGGCCCCTTGATGATAACATATTAAATGAAATTAGTAAAACTTTACTTAATATAATTAAAATTCTGAAGGTTAGGTTTAACTTACCTAATCAAATCTAATACACTGGGAAAACATGCTTACTTTATAAATAGCCATGGGCTTTCCAGGTATACTGATTCTGAAGCTATTTATTTTTCTATTAGTATAATAGCTGATTTCTATGTTTAATAAGATGTTTTGAGCCTAAACTCTGAGCTTGAGTCAGACAATCAAAGCAGAGTGTAGAGTTTAATTTTACTCATATATAAAGATTACATATGTTCAAAGGCAATTTAATTTTCGTTTTCATTTCAAGCAAGTTCTTTAAATTCATACGATGTGGTTGGTATGAATTTGTAGGGCACATTTTTAGTTCTCCATTTCACTCCTTTTATCTGAATCATCTTACCTTCATACATGTCACATGAGATTAAAGTGAGGGTCATCAGTAGCTGGCAAATGAAAGAACTTTTGCAGTAAGGAGTTTTATTTTCTGTAAATTATTGGTGAATGCCATTGCTGGTTTGAAGAAAGGAGATAAAGCTTGATGAAACCAAAAGTTGGAAAATCTTTGGAGACAAAGGACCCCCAAATATAGCTGACTCCCTAATTTAGAGGAGAAACATGGCCCCTGACTTACCAGTCAGATAACCTTCCACTGGAAAAATTATTAATAAAATGGCAAAATTAAGCAAATATCAAGGACATGGTACTTGTGTGATAGTAATATTTTCTATATATGTAAACATATCTGAAATGGTCTAAGAAAATTAAAGGCTAAAAATGGTCTTTTGAAGCCATCTAATAGAAGTAATTAATCTTGTCAGTGAAGGTTTCACTTAGAAAACAATAAATGGGCTGGTGCCGTGGCTCACTTGGCTAATCCTCTGCCTGCAGCGCCGGCACCCCAGGTTCTAGTCCCGGTTGGGGTGCCGGGTACTAGTCCCGGTTGCTCCTCTTCCAGTCCAGCTCTCTGCTGTGGCCCGGAAGGGCAGAGGAGGATGGCCCAAGTGCTTGGGTCCTTGCACCCACATGGGAGTCCGGGAGGAGGCACCCGGCTCGTGGCTTCGGATT